GGTCTTTCCTAATAAGATGTCTGAAGTACACGAGACAGAACCACACTATCCTCACTTCTATGGACCTTTCTGGATGTACTTTGTCCAAGACCGATGTGTTCATTCTTCTGGCAATCTATGATAGCTTCAATATTTTTCCCCAACAACAAAACTCAAGCAAAGCACTTTTTGTCAGTCTTCCTTATATCTTGTCCAGCTCTTACATGCCTACAGAGCAATTGAAAATACCATGCCTTGAATTAGCACCCTTCAGCCCTCAAAGTGACATCTTCGCTCTTCACAATTTAAAGGGGTCTTGCGTGACAGAGTTGCGCAATGCAGAGTTGCTTGCTTTCTTGACTGCTGCCCCCATGAAACTGACTTCAGACAGGTAATACTTTAAAATAGCCCAATACCTCAAGCAAAATGGTCTCAGTACACTACTTACTAAGTTTTGTGCAATGTAAAGATGGCATTTGGAAACCAATTCCTAAGCTTAATGGTTTGGGACATCACCCCAATTCCACGGGCCCCAGAATTCTGAATTTCAGTAGAATGAAAGTTTTTTCTGAGAACAATGTGTTCAAAATGTGGGTTGCTATTGCTTTCCAAAGTCTGTCCCTCTCTTGTTCCTTGAGTCTGTGGACGGTATAGCCACCTAATACACTCAGCAGCTAACCCAGAGGTTGGAAGGTCAAGTCCATCCAAAGGTGCTTCAGAAGAAAAGGCGGGTGATCTAATTCTGGAAAAATCAGCCGTTGAAATCCCTATTGTATCTATTCTGACATAAGAATGAAGGCTGAAGCTCACCGGGGGTCCCATGGATCTGATTCATGCTTCAACAGTGTTTGAACATAGCAGAACTGGGGACTCCCTTCCTCCAACCTTGGACCACTCTCCAATATCCTTTCCAGGCGTCACCTCCAGGGCCATCTTCTTGGTCATCTCTTTTTATTGGCACCAGAGAACACTGCTTTATTTGGTGAAGCTGAGGCCGGCGTCCCCCGTCTGGTCAGCCTGCATCTGCGGGCCTCTGACGCCTGCCTCTCTCTGGACTCCGACCACGACGATGTGGCCTTGGAAGGCGGGACACGTCTTCTGCGAGCTGGTGAAGGTGAAGTGCTACGGGCCCAGTGTCTCTGGAAGCTGCAGCAGCAGCGCGGCGGCCGTGCCTCCTCCAGGATGTGCAGAAGGCACCCCAAGATGAGTGGGGTGGAACCCTGGAAGGCGGAACACGTCTTCTGCGAGCGGGTGAAGGTGAAGTGCGACGGGCCCAGTGTCTCTGGAAGCTGCAGCAGCAGCGCGGCGGCCGTGCCTCCTCCAGGATGTGCAGAAGGCGCCCCAAGATGAGTGGGGCTGAACCCTGGACGCCACGGCAGCGGCCCTGGCCCTGGAGAAGACCCGCAACCAGGCCCTTCTGGACCTGCAGGCCGTGGGGTCCACTCACGCGGACCCCCAGCTCGGTGACTTTCTGGAGAACCATTTCCTGGACAAGGAGGTGAAACTCCTGAAGAAGGCAGGCGACTACCTGACCCACCTCCGCAGGCCGGCCAGCCCCCAGGCCGGGCGGGGTCAATATCTCTTCAAGACCCTCACTCTCAAACACAACCAGGAGCCTGTGCCATCCAGCCACCTTCGAGAGCCCCTCTGTGTCATCCGGACAAGCCTTAGCACCTCTGCCTGAACCTGCCCCTCCAGCCTCAGCGCCACGCCCTGGAGCCCCTCTTCCGAGCCGGGGACCAAATAGAAACAATAGAGCTTCCTTTGGCAGTAACAAAAGAGAATGAAAACCATTCTACAGCAATTTTTTTTTCTTTTGTGCCTTTCATCCTTCATAACCCTCCTCAGCCCCTCCTTCTTCAGTAAGATGGTACAAATATCTCAAACCCCAGCCCAGGGAAGGAAGAAGCCAAAGGGAGAATCAAGTAGATTGATGACAAAGAGGTTCCCAGCAGAGAGCAGATGTAGTCAGAAAACTGGGCACGTGTGGGAAGGTTAGAAGATGCCCAGAAGTCAAGCCTAGAAAGCTAAACAATAGAGACGCGATTGCAACAGGCTTGGCTTAAAAGGATCTTTGTGCATAGTCAGTAACTTAAGGGTGGTA